ACCCCAAAACCCCAAAACCCCAAAACCCCTTTGAATTTGCTCAGATTGAAAATTACTCAAGTTGCATCAGAACCTTGATTTCTTTAGCTGTTTGATCAAAGAAGGCATCATCTCTTTCTTTTAAATAGCACAAGTAGAATATTAACTTGTGCTTCAATTTGGTAATCTTGGACACTTCTTGGACAATTAGCTTCTTAGTCTTCTTGGTGTCTTTGTAGAACAACTTTTTGGGATTTTTCAAGTCAATTTCTACTGAATGAATCAAATCGTAGAGTCTGAAGATGCCCTCAATAACGTTCAGTTTGGGAGATGTGTCTCCTATTGATAATTTATGAGGTAATTCCAAGTGAGACTTACCTTTCCCGAACATTTCTGCCATATCTTGTAGTACCAGAGGTTTGTAGTCAGTGACTAAGTCATAACCTTCAATTTTAGCCAATTTCTCAATAGACAAATTCACTGCTGCTTTAATGTTGTTCCTACAAGGATTAGAGACACTAATTACGTACAAGGATGTGGGGTCTTTTAAGTCTCTTGCATTATCAAAATCCACAGTGGGAGGATTCGATAATATCTCTCCATTCTGAAACCGATAATAGAACATAAAGCTGTAAAGGATGTTCACGATATGATATTTTATCAAACTTGAAGGCTCTTTCTTTGTGATCGATTTCAGAGGCTTTATATTATCATACTTTTTCTTCAGTAATCTCGCTTTATCTTTATAAGAGAATGTAAAATTGACGATTTCCTCTTCTGTCTTTTCATCTGAGCTGTTTTTATCAATTTCTATTGTGATCACATCTGAATCGTCTACCTCATCCTGCTCGGTGGAATCTAATTCATCTAGAACTGTCTTGAATGCATGAGCAATAGGGTTCTCTTCAGGGTCAGGATCTTCAATATCTTCTGTCTGTTTTTCACCATCTGTTTCAGGCTCGACCTTCTCAAGGTCATCATAGAGGACAAATTTGTTCATATTTATAGCAAGTAAGGCTTTATTCTCTATCTCAGAATTGGGATGAATCTCTTCAACAAGAGCACTGGAGGATCCTGTGATTTCTCCAGTTTCGCTTACTTCCTCATAATGTTTCCACCAAGGGATCCATTCTTTGAGGTTAATCTCAGCCCCGTTCTTCCTAAGAGATTTCACATATAGGTCAAATTCTTGTCTCTCTTGGGGTGTGAAATCATCAAGAGTCAGATCTTCTAGTTTCTGGAGAATCTCCTCATTCTTGAACTTTGAAAATTTTGGAGCTAGAGAAGAAGACTCTTGCTCAGCCTCCTCCTTATGCCTTCTGAGGATCTCATTGATATCTTTGGTATGATGTTTGTTGACCCTCTGCTTCTTAAGCTCAGACTCTACACATGATTTGTAAAAGTCTTCAGTGCAGGTCTCTGAATGAGCTTTGTAGCAGTCAATAGATCAGTACTGAATTTTACATTTAGGGCAGATATATTCCCCATTTTTCTTACTTCACACAGCACATTTCGGCATCTTTGAAGAACTTTTGGGTGCAGTGGAGGTGGAATCATAGCCGAGGCCTGGAATTGCCGAGTTTTTGTTATTTATTGGAGCATCTCCAAACTCCTTAGACCCATATAACTTTCTATGTTTCTCTATCAGAGTCTGCTTCTCCTGTTCTTGCTGCTGCTTAATGTCCTGCAGCTCTTGTTCGAGCCTCTTATCTTCTACTTCTTGGAGGATTTGTCTAATCATGAGTGAATGTTTGTCTAAATTTTAGCTAATTTGATAAATGTATTATATCCATTAAATCCTATGGTTTTGGGGTTTTGGGGTTTTGGGGTTTTGGGGTTTTGGGG